TATGCCGGTAGGGCAGTGACCTGACGGAATAGGCATGTCATGGCGGCAGTGGCCCGAAAAGAGTGTATGTCAGGAAGGCAGTGACCCGAAGGTGGGCATGTCATGACGGCAGAAACTCAAAAAAGGGGTGTACCGGTAAGACAGTGACACGAAGGTGAGCATGTCGTGACAGTAGCAGCCCAAAAAGAAGGTATGCCGGTAAGACAGTGACCAGAAAATGAGCATGCCATGACGGCAGCGGCCCGAAAAAAGGGTATATCGATAAGGCAGTGACCCGAAGGAATGAAACTCAAGTAGATAATATCAATCATGCCTACAAACATACACATGCGCATGCACAACATGCAAAGGAGCAAGTGGCAGGTCGATCGAGATGACACATCTGGTCAAACCAAAGTGTTGTGCCAACCGGGCTGGGGTAGCTGGCTGAAACACATGTGACCGGTTCGGGATAACCGACCGAGGCACAAGTGGTGCCAGTCGGTCTGGGACGATCGATCGAGGCACAAGTGGTGCAGGTGCAAGTGCAAGATGTGAGATACAATCGTGTAAATGCAAGATGCAAGTGCATCGTGTAAATGCAAGATGCAAGGTTCAAGTGCATCATGTAAATGCAAGTGCAAATGCGATATATGACATACAATATATAACATGCAAGACACGCATATTCAAACAATGATGTGCATATGACCGCATATGATAGCGAGCTACACTCGCACTAACGACCTCACCTAAGAAACCTAAGGTTTAGACCCTTGGATATGCGGCACCGCCGCCTCTTGGTTTGGTGAGGAAATGTGGGGAGTTTCTCCCTGAATCTCCGAGGGAAAAGCTCTCCACGGCGTCACGAAATGGGCTAGTTACGAAGCTTTTCCCATTTTGTGAACTCTTCCAAATTTTGCAAAGCGAGACAGCTACAAAGCTTCTTTCGCTTTGCCAGGTCCGACCTCCCAACTTCTCCAAGTAAAGCTGGGAAATCCAAAACAAGGGGAGTGAGGGACTCCGACCCATCAAGACCTGTGCTAAGACTCACAACAAGAGGGAGACACTCGGCTCTACAGGGAGTGTTTGGTTACGTAGGAAAAATCTTAATTTAAAGGCTCGCTCTAGGAAATCGACGATCAATCACATAGGAACGTCGAAGCCCTGACTCACGTCGGTGCACGCACCCGTGTGGGCGATCGAACCCACACGCCTAGACACCACTAAACCTAGGGCTAGCTAGAAGTTTAGAGGATCTCACCACCGTGACGGTTGCGGATGCCTTCTCTTTATGCCTTGCGAACGTCCGATTCATGCTTCAGTGTGCCTCGTAGAACGTGCACAAGAAAACAAAAATATCCAATGAAGGCAGGAGAGGAATCAGTGAGGTATGCAAAGTACCAAAAATTTTTTTTTTTTGGCATATAAACATATAATCAAAACATACATTCGAGAAGATCGCTTGGGACTAAGCCATGCTCAAACTTATCATGCAAGGAATCACAAAAATTTTTCTGCCTCACAAGTTTTGGGTAGGAATAGTTTAGAACCAAGAAGAAAAATGAGAGTTTTGTATCTCAGTTTGTTGCGAGTGTCGACGGAAAGGAGTGCCGACGGAGGCTTTTCATGCGCGGTGGAAGACCCTTGCACCTCCTCAACATGACACTCGCTATCCGGCGACGTCGAGGTGCTTTGACTAAGTATCCGGTCTCCGGGAATGAGGGGCGGCAAAGCAGCAGAGCTAGCACGTCGTTAGCACATTGCCGGAACAGAAAATGCATGGAGCAAAGTGCGAGATTCGGGGCTGTGCGTAGGAGGAGGGCAGGTTCGTCGCAAGCTCAGCGCCGACGAAGAAGAAGGCTGGCTGGATGTTGTCGGCGAGGTGGAGAGGCCGAAATGTGGCCAACCAAAAGGAGGAAGACTGCACATAGGAGAGCTCGGACCAGCGACAGCAAGGCGTCGGCGCTTAAGAAGGGAGCTTCGATGGCTGAGAGGCCGGCGGCGGGCTTCGCCAGCGAGGAGGGAGGCGGCTGGTGAGAAGCTAAGGCATGGGAGGTGCGGCTCGAAAAGCGGCCAACAATTAAAGGAGGGGAGGCCGGCGGCTGGAAGAGCACGACCGACGACAATAGTATCTTCGCGAGCCAAAGGAAGGGGTGCGAACATGTGTCGTCCCCACGCACGACACATATGTTTGTTTTTTTAAGCATGAACTTGGTTAGTTGTTGAATTTTATTAGTTGGATTTTATGATTGAATTTTAGATTTTGGGTGATTGCTTTATTATCTTTTCAAATAAATTAATTATTTTCATTTTTCTTACATTAAAATTTAATAGCCATGAGTTTTAGCTATAATTATGATTGATTATGTTTCTTTTTTAATTTTATTTGTGTGTGTTTCCTCATCTTAGGTTTGGATTAGAAACCCTAGAACTTTAGTTTTCCTACATCATAGGTCTTTTACTTAGGGTCTATTTGGGGCCGCTGCAGCTGTGCTGCCCTAGGAAGTTGCTGAGGGGAAGTAGTTGCAGTGAAGCTCGTTGTCTGTTTGGTGCAGCTGTGTGTAAACTGTTGTGAGACAGCTGTTTGAGGAAAAAATGACCATTTTGGCCCCATTTGGTAAAACTGTTTAAAAGAAGACTGTAATAGTCAGATTTCTGAAACTTCAGACGCCGAAATTCATTTCTAAACAAAGCAGCTGCTGTCCCTGCAGCTGCTTCCCCCCAAGAAGTTACTGCGGGGAAACTGGTTGTCTGTTTGATACAGCTGTATGTAAACAGCTGTGGGCAGCTGTTTGAGGAAAAATGACTATGTTGTCCCTGTTTGGTAAAATTGTTTAAAAGAAGACTGAAAAAGTCAGATTTCTAAAACTTCAGACGCCGAAATTCATTTATAAACAAAAAAAAAGTTCATATACGCCACTCACTTAACATTGAGCCCCGAAAAGAATATATCTCATTTACGCTTGCCATCATTTTTAGCCAACGAAATAAACCACTTAACAATAACAGATAATGAAACAGATAGTGATAAACGAAAATACATCCATTTTGCTAATTTCTCCATTAGCAATCCCCATGATGCTAATTCTTCCACCATCACATTAATCACAAAGATGAAACACGGCATTGAAATTTCACCTTTCCAATATACACATTAAAAGCATTTTTTTCTGATTACTATCACCTTTAGCAATAGTACCAGCATTAACAATTACATTAAGGGAAATTTCTTCATTATTCTAACAAAAGTGCTAGCATTAACAACATACTCGAAGGCCAACTTAACAGAGCAACCATCAACCACAGACATAAAAGCAAATTTCAGATCCATATTTACAAAAGAAATAAAAGCAAATTCTCGATCCATGTACGAGCATGAACGAAATACCCGAAGGCCAGCTTCACAGAGCAACCACAAATAAAAGAAAATTTCACTTCAGCTAGAGGAATGTTCAAAAATGCGCACAAACTGCTTTTTCAAATTTAATTGGAAGCATAACCCCAAAGAGAATAACGTCTACCCACCACCAAATCTAATAGGAGAGCTAAAATAGGGTCACGGTGTGATCTTTTTCATGATCGAACAATCAACATAACCCGATAAAACCAAATTTCTGATCTAAGGAAATCCTTACGAGAATAGGAATGCAGATGAGAAATAGGTTTCTTACCTTTGCCGTGAGTAGATCATGAGAATAGGAAGAGAAAGATTAGAAGAAGAGAAAGGAAGACGCATAGGAACAGTCACCGACCGGAGAAGAGGAGGGGAAGGAACAAAGCTCGCTGCTTCTCTCCAATCTCGTGTGATTGGGCAAAGGGGCAAGGGGGTAAAAAATGCGTTCGTATAGCTGTGCCGCACCTATTACCTGGCTGCTCGACTTTCGCTCGGTACCGCGGGAAGCAGTGGCAGGCCCGCCGAAGCAAATGCAAAAAAAAAAGCGGGGCGGCACAGTGCCGCCACCCGTCTAAACGGGCTCCTAATTAACGAATTAAATTCACGAGATTCAATTCGGGAAGGTGTAAAAAAAGGAAAGAAGGGATTTCACATTATAGCAGGAGAAACTTTTGGTGCTTACGTACACCCTCCTTAAAAAAATTCGGTCCCTCAAGATTATTTCAAGATTATTTATGTGTGATCCAGATATTCATTTGTATTTTTTATAAGACAAATAATTATGAAATATACAGTACCACAAAATATTGGTAGTAGAAAACTACTTTGACTTCCTTTCATGCAAGAAGCCAACTTTCACTTAGCCTTGAAAGCAACAAAAAGCGCTCAAATATCAATTTTGCAATGAGCTGAATCTCAACTCTTTTCCCGTAATGCCAGCTACGGTACTAAAGAGTAAAGACTTTCTATGTATCTATGCTATATAGTTTAGTTTTGAGTGTTGGATGATGAAGACACTTGTTGCTAATTTGAGTGTGGTGAACATGGTTGTATGAATGTGTGGCAATCACTAAGAATGATATTCAGAGAAATATTGATGTTCTATGATGTTAAGATGTCAATATTTAGATTTAAATGGTATGTGAATGTATAATAGAGGTATGAAGATAATTCATTATGACAAATAAAATTTGATGAGATCAAGAAAAAAAATGTTAGGCCTAATGTAATATGGCTAAATATTGTTTAGATTTTTCATAAGATAGAAGTTGCACCTCTTGCAAAAATCACTTAGAATAATAATGTTGACCCTAAATAAGTTGGTTTAGAGCTAATAATGATTCTTGATCTTTCTTCTACATCGTATTTAATTTTTCCCTTTTCCCACTTCATATGCACCTCTACCCCTCATTCTAGTGGATTTTACTTTAATTTTACAATGATTTGGCGTGAGCTCAGCAGAACCTAAAGATCTGCATATTTTCATATTCTGTTTTAGATGTTTGGAATGATGGAATTTCAGTCGACTAAAACGGTCTGTTTTTTGCTTTGATTTTTATTAATCACACCCACATTTAGTTTATTCCACTAAAATTAGATTTTGAAAAAAATTGTTCTTTGTCAGTGGAAGATGGCTTGGATAGTGCAAAAGAGGAGGCTCCGGAGAACAACCCACAGTACACCACAGTTTACGTTGGAAACCTTTCTCCAGAGGCAAATTTTTCATTCCAATCCCACTGATATTGATTATTCATCATTTACCTTCTCATATCGCGTAAGCTGCAAATTCCATTAAGTTCATTTACCTTCTGAAAATAAAATTACAAAATTGCAGGTTACCCAAGTCGACCTTCATAGGCTCTTTCACGCCCTCGGTGCTGGGCAGATCGAGGAAGTTCGCATTCAACGTGAGAAGGGTTTTGGTTTCGTTCGTTATGGCACTCACTCGGAAGCCGCTCTCGCTATCCAGATGTCCAATGGTCGGATTCTCGGTGGAAAGCCAATTAAGGTATTATTTTTTGTTCCACTAATCCAATTCCATTAAAGTGATCAATATTTAGCAGCATTGCATTGTAGCTTTTCATTCTGTGTAGTGTTCATGGGGAAGCAAGCCCACCCCACCTGGATTAGCCTCCAAACCCTTACCGCCTCCCGCTGCAGTCCCCTTTCCGACGCTGTCGGCGGCCGACTTACTTTCATACGAACGGGCTTTGGCCCTTGGTAAGATGGGTATAGGGTCGGCACTAATGCCGGTTCAGGCAAACACAGTCCTGAAGCAGGCGGGCCTCCCTTTAGGTGCCGGAGCTAGCCAGGCTATTTATGATGCTGGGTTTCAGAATATGGGTGGTCCTGCTCAGGGTCAGCATTTCTACTGATAAAAAGCTTAGGGATTAACACAATTCTGTTGCCTGCCACCTGCCTTTGCAGCTCTGCTCTTGGTTGTCTTTCTTTTGTATTTTTTTTTTCTTTCATACCCGTTAGTATTGTAATGGTAAGTTGGGCCGTCTCCTTTTACGATTTTATGGATTGTTTTTAAAATATATGTGATCAGTATTTGGTTATTTTTATGTTACAAGTTAATGGTAAGGGTCCATGTTATGAAAGGGATTTGTTTCTGGTTGTGTAATGCCCCTATGCTATGAAATATTATTTAGTAAAGTTTTTCTTTCTTTTATTTTTATTTTTGACATTACCATATGTTTTGATTGGGCTTTTTTAGATGTATTTGTGACTGCAATGCAGGTGTTCGTGTCTTGCTTAGCTTAGCAGAATTTGGAAAAAGTAATATATATAT